AGGAAACATGCACATTTCCACAATCATTGATGATATGAGATTGCATGTCAGATAAAGGTATAGGGGAAATGACGGTCATTAAATCTTCAATAAATGCACAAGTTTACATTGAGATTTTGGACACTTTTATTATTCCATCAATTGAAAGGATGTTTGGTGATTATGACATTTTCAGGATGATAATGGGCAAAAAACGTGAAAACTTTCCTTCAAGAAAGACATATGGGGGTTGATTTACTAAAGCACCTTGTCTGGAAATGGTCGCAATTCCTTGCATGACCGGCTACTTTTAGGCGAAGAGATTTGCTAAAGGACTCAGTCCACAAATAGTCACAATTCGGAATTTACTAATGGTCACAAAACTTAGCGACCGTCTAAATGAGTTCACCTCTTAGAACCAGGTGAATAGCAGAGAAAAATCTTTTTAGTGATATGATCTTAAGCAATTTATACTTCCTATACATAGTTTGGACATTTTTAAGAATAAATGCTTTAAAAGAATTCTAGATTTGTCTATATAAAGCAATATATTTAAAAAAAATCCAAACAGGCATTGACTTCGCCTAGTTCAAACATCTCAGTAGTGACAAGACTGAGCATGCCCAGACCAATAAAACTAAAAAACTGCCTGTGTTTTTTTTAACCGCTTCCTGCCCGCCCGCAATGTACTGCGCAGAGCGGCAGCTACAGACAAAGCGACGTACCCATACGTCGCTCTGGCTGTACTAACACAGAGGGGGCGCAGTGCTCCCCCTTTGCGACTGCTGTGTACAGCGGAATGAAGATCCCAGTTAACGGGATCACTATGTAAGCAAAGCTATTATGAATCAATCTCATTCATAACAGCTCTGCTTCTCTTTCTATTGAGCTGTGATTGGCCCACAGCTGTCACATGATACATGGGACCAATCACAGCACCCTGTACCATGTGACCAGCTCCAGCCAATCACAGATCACTATCCTGGGCTGTCAAAACTTAACTCATTCATGACAGTTCCTGAATGAGTTGGGTTCTGACAGCAAGATTTGCATTGCAAAAGAAATGATCTTTATTTCTCCTACAAAGCAAAGTGTAAAACAAAAACAAAAAAATCCCTGATACACACACTAGTACAGCAATGGGCAAACTACAGCCCGGCGGACCTTTTAATCCGGCCCGCGGAGCTAGGCTCCCGCTAGGCTCCTCTCACAGTCCGCCCTGAAGACCGGTGTAGCATGAAAATCTGTCTCCTAGGAGATCGCCGATCGGCTGCTAATGCCTGAAACTGGCACATGCGCAGATACGTCGAGGGGGACAGATCCTCATAGGAGACAGATTTTCATGCTACACCGGAACGGCACGGGAACACGGCGAGAGGAACGCGCGGAGCAAAGGTAAGTGAATTGACACAGGGAGACTTGGGGAATTAATATGGGGAATGAATTACTATAGGGGGGATGAATTATATGGGGGATGAATTACTATATGGGGGATGAATTACTATAGGGGATGAATTAATATGGGGAATGAATTACTATAGGGGGGATGAATTACTATGGGGGATGAATTACTATATGGGGGATGAATTACTATGGGGGATGAATTACTATATGGGGGATGAATTACTATAGGGGGGATGAATTACTATAGGGGGCATGAATTACTATAGGGGGGATGAATTACTATATGGGGGATGAATTACTATGGGGGATGAATTACTATGGGGGATGAATTACTATGGGGGATGAATTACTATATGGGGGGATGAATTACTATATGGGGGATGAATTACTATGCTTACTATGGGGGAATATTACTATACTTACTATGGATGACACATACACATCATTCATCTACTCTTGGTCCGGCCCCCAGGTCCAATATATGAACCCATTGCGGCCCTCAAGTCAAAAAGTTTGCCCACCCCTGCACTAGTACAACGTTACTATGTTTTTTTGTCGCTTTTTTTTTTTAACTTCTTGCCAACCGCTTAGCCGCATTTTGTGGGCGAGCAGCAGCTCTTGGCAAAGTGGCATAATCTTGCTTCGCTTCCTATTTTGGGGTGTGAACACACCTGCGCCCCCCCACTGAAACCCCCCCCACCCGTCAGTCCAGGGAGAGGAGTGAGAACACCACACCAAGTAAAAGCACTGCTGCATTTTACACACACACACACACGGTAGATTAGCACATTGATTGTCCCTATTAACCCTTTGATTGACCCCTATTAACCCTTTGATTGCCCCTATTAAAATGTTGATCACCCCTATTAACCCTTTGATCGCCCCATCACTCAACCAGTGCCAATAGTACAGTGTCAGTATATAGAAATTTTCACTGATCACTGCATTCCTGCCACTAGCAACATCAGATAATGTCAGGGTTAGTCAGCGTAACATCATCTTTTATACTCTATCAAACAATTGGGCAATATATTGTGTTTTTGGGCATTAACATTCTAAAAAGTGTATTTTTTCCAAAAGATTTGCGTTTGAAAGATCGCTGTGTAAATACTGTATGACATAAAAAAATTTCAACACCCACCGTTTTATTGTCTAGGGTTTCTGCTTTAAAAAAAAATATATAATGTTTTGGAGGTTCAAAGTAATTTTCTAGCAAAAAAAAACTGTTTTTTCATGTGAACAAAAAATGTCAGAAAAGGCTTGGTCTTCAAGAGTGTGTGATGTGTGGCATAAGCTTCTAATGTTGACCCTGAATTGCCAGGATAGTAGAAGCAACCCCTCCAAATGTCCCTTTTTTGGAGAATAGACACTCCAAGGTATTTGCTAAGAGGCATGGTGAGTGTTTTGCAGATCTCATTTGTTGCCACATGTTTTTGGAAAACGAAGAAAGAAAACAAAAAAAAAATGATTTGTTCTTTTCTTTTTTTCTTTTTCAAAACCCTGTGACAAAACTGATATTTGTAAAATACTCACCATGTCTCTTATCAAATTCCTTGGGGTGTCTACTTTCCAAAAAGGGGTCATTTAGATGGCTTTTTGTACTATCCTGGCATTTTAGAGCCTCCGAAACTGTGATAGGTAGTGGGGAAGTGATATGAGGAAATATGCTCTTTGAAAGCCTGGAGGTGGTCGTTGGATTTTTGGGGCTTGTATGTAGCTACGCTGCCAAAAATTCTCTCACATGTGGTATCCCCATACTCAGAAGAAGTAGGAGAATGTGTTTTGGGGTGTTATTCCACATATACCCCTGGAATGCATGAGCAATATTTCATTAAAGTGACAACTATGTGTAAAAAAAAAAAAAAAAAAATAATGGCATATTCAAAAAATTTGTGGCAAAAAATAAAATATTCCATGGGCTCAACATGCCTCTCTGCAAAATCCTTGAGGTGTTTACTTTCCAAAAAGGAGTCATTTTGGGGGGGGTTGTACTGCCCTGGCATTTTAGCACCTCAAGAAATGTGATGGGTAGTCAGTAAAAGCTACGTAAATTCCAATATATACCATAGTTTGTAGACGCTTTAACTTTCACACAAAACCAATTAATATACATGTATCAGGGATGTTTAATTTCTATCGCCCGACGCCCGGGACATGTAGTTCCGGGCGCCAAACAAAAGGTTTGTTTTCCGCATTTAGCTCTGCTGCGGGCAAGCAGTAGGGTCTAGAGCCGGCGGACGACCCCCCCTCCCGCCGCCGTCTGCAGGCTGTCCTATCTAGGGACTGTGGCTCTGGGCTCCATCTGCTCAGCTGGGGGCGGGAGGAAGAACAGGACTAATGTCTGTCAGACACAGCGGTCTAATCCTTGTGCAGCAGTCCCGAACTTCACTTCTATACCACTCCACTGGGGTATGGAATTTCCAGGAACCGCAGTACAAGGATTGCTCCACCAGGACTATTGTATGATTTGCAGCCACCGGCTGAGTAATCCTTGTGCTGCGTTTCCTGGCAATTCCATACCCCGGCGGATTGGTATAGCAGTGAACTAATTAAATTGTCTGAATTGCTGCATCAGGGTTAGTGGAGGTCAGGAACCACTGCATAAACCTTGAATGGTGCAGAGAAGTACAAGAGATAAGCACTTGAGCCCAGGGGTTAAACAGTCCTGTTCCTTTGCCTGGCACCTAGCTGAGAAGACGTTTTTTGTAATTGCAGCACACAAGAGGTTACTCAGCAGTAGATTTGTTCCTGTCCCCAATTTCCTGCTCATTGCACAGAACATACTGGAATAGCTGAACAGCCTTAGGGCACATTTACACGTGGTGCCCTGTGAAGAGCAATCCACATTCAGATTGCTCTGCACATGGCATTTGACAGGAAGTGAGGAGTGGTTATGTCACCTCCTCACCACCTGTTTAATCCCCACAGCAGTGCCCCCAACTGCATGCATTGCACATGAATGCGGGAAGCCCCAATTCACTTGAGTGTACTGCTTTATTGTTCTACTGGCGCTGGCCACTGCCCTACTGGCACCCCCTCCTTGGAGCATCCAAAAGGTGTCCGAAGTCCAGCTCTTTTACAGCCCTAAAGTGTATACAAAAAAATAATTGTGTTCTGCCACTAAAGTATTCGAGTTTGGCTTGAAGAAAAGGTGACAACCCTAGTCCTAGTCCTGTCCCACTGTGACACCCTATCAACCAACTGGCGCTTCTGCTGGCTGATCATAGAGGCGGCCAAAGACCAGAACCACTCTGTCCACCTCTAATATTAGAAACAGGAAGTGATGGGCATACATACTTCTGGTTTCCCCAGATGTAAAATAGAAAGCATTTGATCACACCAATTTTGCTGTGATCAAATGCTTTAACCACTTGTCTACAGGGCACCTATACCCCCTTCCTGCCCAGGCCAGTTTTCAGCTTTTAGCGCTCTCGCATTTTGAATGACAATTGCGCGGTCATGCAACACTGTACTTATATGAAATTTTTTAAAAAATTTTGAGAGAGATAGAGCTTTCTTTTGGTGGTGTTTAATCACCTCTGGGTTTTTATTTTTTTGCTAAACAAACCAAAAACAACTGAAAATTTGGAAAAAAAAAAAAAAATTTTCTTACTTTTTGTTATAAAATTTTGTAAATAAGTGATTTTTCTCCTTCACTGATGTGTACTAATGAAGCTGCAGTGATGGACACTGATAGGCTGCAGTGATGGACACTGAAAGGCAGCACTTATATATGGCACTGATAGGCAGCAATGATGGGTAGCAATGATAGGCGGCACTGTTAGGTGGCACTGACTGCCACTGTTAGGCAGCACTGATGGGCACTGATAGGTGGCACTGATGTGCACTGATAGGCGGCACTGACTGGTACTGATAGGTGGCACTGATTGGCAGCACTGATAGGTGGCACTGACTTTCATTGATAGGTGGCACTGACTGGCATTGGTAGTTGGCACTGACTGGCACTAATAACACTGAAAGGCAGCTCAGATGGGTACTGATATGTGGCATTGATGTGCACTGGTAGGCACTGATATGTGGCATTGATGTGCCACTGATGGGCACTGGCAGGTAGCATTGATGAGCACAGCTGGTATTGATGGGTTCTGACAGGTGGCACTGCTGGGGTTACACTGATCATCAGGGCACACTGATCATCAGTGCCCTGATGATCAGTGTACATGTCCCCGCCCCCCCCCCCCCCCCCTCCCCCGAGGAATGCCGATTACCGGCTCTCCTCTCCTCTCGAGCTGTGAGGAGATCACATGACCGAGCCGACATCTTTGGCTCTTTCCGTTGATTGGTGATCCGCTGTGTCCGAGGGACACAGTGCACCACCGATCTCCGCGCTGCGCGCTTAGAATGGGAGGATGTCATATGACGTTCTCCCAGAACAAGAGAACCTCCTTTGCGCCCGTCATTACCTTATATGGCGGGCTGGAGCCGGTTAAGGACAGAGGAGGGATTTGGGGTATTGCTGACCCCAGATATCTCCATAAAGAGTACCAGTCGCTGCCTATTGCTGTCATAAGGGATGTTTACTTTCCGTGTGACAGCAATAAAAGTTAAAAAAAAAAAAAAAAAAAGACTGTATAAAAATAAATATAAAAAAAAAAAAATGCTAACCACCCCCATTCTAACACACAAAGGCAAACGTTGGTCCTGTGTGCACACAAACAGCGATCGTCTCATACATGTATCACCACAAATGTCAGATCATGGGCAGTAATTCTAGTACCAGACCTTCTGGGTAAATCCAAAGTGGTAACCTGTAAAGGCTTTTAAAGTGTTGCCTATGGATAGTAAAATTTACATTGTTGCCATTGCACGGGCTTGTTCCATTTTAAAGCGTAACATATTTGGTATCCATTTACTCAGAGTAACATCATCTTCTATATTTTACAAAAGAAATTGGGTAGTGTATTGTGTTTTTTTTGCATTAAAATTAAAAAAATTTGTGTATTTTTAAAAATAAATTGCTTTGAAAAACCGCTATGCGAATACCTAGTGACATAAAAATTGCAGCACCCACCAATTTATTCTCTAGGGCCTTCACTTTAAAAATATATATATATATAATGTTTGTGGGTTCTAAGAAATTTTCCAGCAAAAAAATAAAAAACAACATTAAAAGTTTAAGTTGCCATAAAGGCATTCCAAAAAAGCACCTCCGCCTAACAAAATAAACATCAACCCTTCATATTTTCCATCCTGGCAATTATTTTTTTTTTTTCTATTAGGACAAGTAGACTGGGATCCCAATTTAGTCCCTTGGACAAGTAGTTTTAAAAAAAAAAATTCCACACCCTTGATGTATTGAGCTTTTTTTTTTTACCACAGACATGTAGCAGAATACATTTTAGCCTAAATTTATGACTAACTTTGCGTTTATTGGATTTTTTTAATAACCAAAAGTGAAAAATATTTTTTTTTAATTTGCGGTTTTTTTTGTTTATAGAGCAAAAATTAAAAACCGCAGAGGTGATCAAATACCACCAAAAGAAAGCTCTATTTGTGTGAAAAAAAAGGACATACATTTCATTTGGGTACAGCATTGCACGACCACGCAATTACCAGTTGAAATAGCGCAGTGCCGAACAACAAAAAATGGCCTGGTCAGGTAAATCCTCTGGAGGGCAAGTGGTTACAGTGCTATAGTAAATGCCTTTGTTGGCAAGCCTGGAAATGTCGTTGAAAAGAGTGAACCTGTTTCTGTTAAAGCATGATTATTAAACCGACTAATATATATATGTATATATATATATATATATATATTTTTTTTTTTTTTTTTTAATGGTATACATCAATACTTGTAACTATAAACTATAGAACTGTTACCATGCACGGAAACACCACTCGAAAAATTAGAATACCGTGCAAAAGTTCATTTATTTCAGTAATGCAACTTAAAAGGTGAAACTAATATATGAGATGGACTCATTACATGCAAAGCAAGATAGTTCAAGCCGTGATTTGTCATAATTGTGATGATTATGGCTTACAGCTCATAAAAACCCCAAATCCACAACCTCAGAAAATTTAGAATATTATATGCAATCAATAAAACAAGGATTGTACATAGAACAATATCGGACCTCTGAAAAGTATAAGCATGCATATGTACTTAGTACTTGGTTTGGGCCCCTTTTGCAGCAATTACTGCCTCAATGCGGCGTGGCATGGAAGCTATCAGCCTGTGGCACTGCTGAGGTGTTATGGAAGACCAGGATGCTTCAATAGCGGCCTTCATCACTTCTGCATTGTTCGGTCTCATGTCTCTCATCATTCTCTTGGCAATGCCCCATAGATTCTCTATGGGGTTCAGGTCAGGCGAGTTTGCTGGCCAATCAAGCACAGTAATCCCATGGTCATTGAACCAGGTTTTGGTGCTTTTGGCAGTGTGGGCAGGTGCCAAGTACTGCTGGAAAATGAAGTCAGTATCCCTATAAAGCTCGTCTGCGGAAGGAACCATGAAGTGCTCCAAATTCTCCTGGTAGACGGCTGCGTTGACCCTGGACTTAATGAAGCACAATGGACCAACACCAGCAGATGACATGGCTCCCCAAATCAACACAGACTGTGGAAACTTCACACTGGACTTCAAGCATCTTGCAGAGTGTGCCTCTCCATTCTTCTGATGAGTTGCTCCCATCAGAAAAGAGGACTTTGGACCACTGAGCAACAGACCAGGTCTGTTTTTCTTTAGCCCAGGTAAGACGCTTCTGACGTTGTTTGTTGTTCAGGAGCGGCTTGACAAGAGGAATACGACAATTGAAGCCCATGTCCAGGATCCGTCTGTGTGTGGTGGCTCTTGCTGCACTGACTCCAGCCTCAGTCCACTCCTTGTGAAAGTCCCCAACACTTTTGAATGGCCTTTTCCTGACAATCCTCTCCAGGCTGCAGTCATTCCTGCTGCTTGTGCACCTTTTTCCTCCACACTTTTCCCTTCCACATAACTTTCTATTAATGTGCTTTGATACAGCACTTTGGGAACATCCAATTTCTTTTGCAATTACCTTTTGAGGCTTTCCCTCCTTATGGATGGTGTCAATGATGGTTTTCTGCACAACTGTCAGGTCAGCAGTCTTTCCCATGATTGTGATTCCTACTGAACCAGACTGAGAGACCATTTAAAGGCTCAGGAACCCTTTGCGGGTGTTATGGCTTAATTAGCTGATTAGAGTGGGACACTTTGAGACTAGAATATTGCACCTTTTCACAATATTCTATTTTTCTGAGATTGTGGATTTGGGGTTTTCATGAGCTGTAAGCCATAATCATCACAATTATGACAAATCACGGCTTGAACTATCTTGCTTTGCATGTAATGAGTCTATCTAATATATTAGTTTCACCTTTTAAGTTGCATTACTGAAATAAATTAACTTTTGCATGATATTCTAATTTTTTGAGTTTCACCTGTATTTTTTTTTTTTTTTTGCTGCTTATACAATATTCTTTTTTTTCTCATTTTTTTAAATAATGCTAGTGCTGTTTTATTTATTTTTCTCTGCAGTGTATATATACTTATGTATGTACTGCCATGTGCATTGATCATGTCCAGGGACTTAGACTTTTGAAAACATATTAACGAAATGATAGAAAAACTGCACTTGGTGCTCAGTATCTAACAAAAATCTAAATCCAAACTCCCACAGCTGTCTTCACAAACCACACACAATACCAGTGCTGAAGCAAAATTACAAAGGAATACAAATGTTGCACTGTTACTAAATTTGATGTGTGTTGGTTATATGTATCCCAATACAATGGATCATACTACTATTCGAAAAAATGTGATGTGTCCCAACATAATAGATACACATTAAAATGATGAAAAAAAAATTCTGAGGGTGACACCACTGTTCCACAGTTACAACAATAAGGAAAAATATCAATTCATAAGTCAATAAACATAGAACCATATGGAAGTCCACCACCTGTATGTAAATGACAAAATAAAATAAGTAGTTATTCCACCATCAATGCAAATCTTGCCATATGTTTTCACTCATGAATGACAATAAGCAGCCTTGTGAATTCTGCTTATTCTGCGCCACATTTGTATTCCCTTTTAAATATATTGTTTGTTACATTGAGGATGTCCAAGGACTTAAGGCTGATCACACAACAGAGTTGCAATCTTCAGGCATGTGACAGCACAGTGGCTTAGTGTTTAGTAGTGCTGCCTATCAGCACTAGATTTGCTGGTTCAAATCCCAACCATGGCACTACCTGCATTGAGTTTGCATGCTCTGCATGTGTGGGTTTCCTCCCATGCTTCAAAGACATGCTAGTATTTGTTTTGTCTCATGTCTAAATTGTTCCTAGTATATGAATGTCGTTTGGGACTTTACATTGTAAGCTCCTTGAAGGCAGGGCCTGATGTGAATGTACAATATGTATGTAAAGTGCTGTGTAAATTGATGGTGCTATATAGGTACCTGAACTAATAACAATGCATGTGTTTATTTGTGTTTTTTGCAATCTGATACATTTTAGATGGGTTTCACGTAATGGAAACAATTGAGTACTGTCCGTGATACTTTTTTTTATTTGCACTAACATACAATTTTGAGGACAAGCTTTCGGGGTATGTCCCCTTCTTCAAGGTCTAAGCAGTACTATTACAAATAACAAAGTTTAAGCAGAATGTTAGAAGGGATTGAGAAAAAAAAAAAAAGGGCTACAGATAAGATACATCAAAAGCGAGGGGGGGAGGGGGGGAAATACTACACTCACACAGAGGGGGTAAAGCTTTAGCTAATAGATAGTCATAAAGCTGTCGGATAATGGTTGAGGAATCCCATGTCCAAATTAAGGCCGTTATCTTTTGTGTCAAATAGAATTATCATTCTTAGTTCAAATGTTTTTCTTTCCTGGATAGATTTGAATTTTCCTTTCAGAACTAAAATATTGA